TGATACTTCCTCTGTTTTTTAAACTTGCAACAAAACTTTCCTAAAATGGAACTCACCTCATTTTAAAGTGTATTATATCATGTGAATCCCACATTTCATAATTACTGTGAAAATGTGTGTGTTGCAACTATAATCCTAGATTTTTTTCTAAATTTTGTTTTTGGGGTACGGTGATTCTAAGGACAAATCTATTTGAAAAGTATAGCTATTTGTTTTAAGTAGTATTAATTGAGATAACAAGCTTATAACATTACTCATATATCTATATATCTATACTTAGCACTCCCTCCGTCCCCAAAACTTCGACCCTTTTAGCCTAATTTTAGTCCCCAAATGATCGACCCATTTGTATTAAAATACCCATCAATTTATGATGAGTCTTATTAATATAGAGTTTATAGGCAAGTTTATGCTAAGTTTATAGTGGCTTTTTAGGTCTTTTTGTCGCTTTTTAGGACGCAAATGCATAAGTTGTTTGTTTTATGCTCTATTACGCTCCGTTTGTGTTTTTCTTAATGTTTCAGGTGATTTTATAGTCATTTGGACGCTTTCGAAGTGTTTGGAGTTGATTTGGATGATATTTAGATGGAAGCCGATGAATCGAGTTTATTAATCGAAGATACCATGTTCGTGAATGTTGATTTTGAAATTTATATGCACGAGGAATGAATATAGCATTCAAAAGGGTCGCTATGCACCTTTCGGAATCAAATTTGAGTTAGAAACGAAGTTAAACGATTGTGTACAGAGTGTCATCAATTTTTTAATCTTCATTCTTAAAAAATTGATAAAACTAATCATCAATTTTCTCACACAAAAAATTAATGTTTATAAATGCTAATTTTTTAATTCTCATTCTTTCGTTTGCTCATCTATACTTTGAAGAAATTTATAATGGTAGATAAAAATTCATTTAACAGATAAAACAAACTAATATGAAGTATAAAAGTTAGGTTACCGTATATTTCATAATGAATTTTGTTAATGTTCAATAAAATTTATAAAAAAATGATTTTTTTTTAAATTATAAAACCATCAATAGAAATCCCTTTAATTTATTAATTTTTTTTAAAAAAACAATTTAATAAAAATGACCCAGGGCATCGCCCGGGGCCTTAAACTAGTTTAATAAACTTTAAATCTCATTATTCTCCTCGCTCAAATAAGAACTGGACTTCAAATTTCATTATTAATTAGAGAGTAGAGATTGTCTTAATTAGTACAATAAATGTTGTGGGTACCTAATTTATTAGATCCAATTTGGTACCTGTCAGCGAAATATAGAGTATTTAATTTAAGGATAATATTATATGTAGTCCATAGGACTATAACTAATTAAGCATTCAATATACTTTGTATCTTTCAATTTTTGGTATAAAGTTTTTAAAATCACGTACAGGTAGTGGAATTAATAATCTTATATTTAATTAATATTTTCATCTTTTAACTTCTTATACATAATCTTTAGGGTTATATATAGGAGTAACATTTTCCTTAAATTAATTTAATTAAAGAAGACATTAAGTAGCGTTCTGTTTAAAAATTTAAACATTTAATAGATGAAAGCACTGAATAAGCTTTGTGTCATTAATTCAAGTAAGCGATGATGAAAGATCCCTTGGACAAATTTTTAAATTTTTTTTTTTATTTAGTTTTTTTTTTTTTTTTTTTTTTTTTGACATGCACAATTTTTTAACATTATTGTAGATGTGGAGTTCATGATGTGGAGTTCAAAGAAGGACCTTTCAACTCCAAACTACAAGTTAAATACCTTTTGGAAGGCCAATTTAATTATTAGTGGTGGAATTTGTGGCCACATATAGTTGTAATCACTGCTCGTTACTATTGGTTTAACTCTTATAATAATGATTTACACTTACTACCTTATTCACCTAAAATAATGGATTTAATTGATTATATACTAGGAGATCTAATCGTATTATTTCCTTGTTTAAAAAAATTAGAGAATTCCTCCACTTAATTCTTTTCTTGTTCATATGCTTTTTAATTTATCTTCAATAATATCAATGGTGTATTGGTGTATATACTTTGACTAGTTGTCTTATCAAGTAAATTCGAGAAAAAAAGTTTGAGAGGAACATTTTTGGATGTTGTTATACATAAGGTAACCAAAAAGCACATTAATGATGATAGATACGGAAGTGTGGAACTATAGACCAAACAATCACCATTAAGTCTTCTATTTGTAATAAAATGATATTGTGTGGGAATTATACTATTTGGGTCCCAATTCACTCTAATTTCTTCTAACTTTTTTAGTGGTTGAAATCGTACGGACCACGGAAGGTTTGGATTTTCAGTAGTATTACCGTCTATTCCATTGGACTCTATTTCGGATTAATTATAACACTTATCTTGTACATACGTATTATTAGATTTTGATTAATTATAGATATTGTTATATGTTCTTTGTCGACCATGCTAACCATTAATATACTTAATTAACATTACTTTAATACTACCTCTGTTATATATTATTTGCAATTATTAAACATTTTCCCTATCTACTTTATGTCAAATAGTTGCAAATAATATGTAACGGATGTAGTATATTATACCACCTCCGATTCATATTTTTTGCAACTTTGGAGTATTTATATCTCACAAATAATACCTCAAAGTTACAAAAAATATGAAACGGAGGTATTATATAAAAACTATTTTTAGTCACCAACCTACAGTACAATTTTCTTAAAAGCATGTGACAAGTTGCGTTCAATTCAAAACTTAATGAAGGATTAATTATTAAGCTGTTTGTAATAAATTGAATTGGGACAATTATTAATTGGAGAAGTTTGAATGAAGGGAGCCAAAATAAAATTGAGAACGTTGTCATTTTTTAAGTAAGCCATGGATATATTGACGTGCAATTGTGTCAATTGTCTATCAGGTTGAATACATGAGGAAAGTATTACTTCATTTCGAAAGTATTACTTCATTTCTACATACGTCTCATATTAATTAACATACATGTTAATGCGATGCACTTGTTTAGATTTAAATATATATAATTAAATATAGTAATAAAAAAAGTTAATATCATGAAACTTTATATTTGTATTGCTCTAACAATATATTTGATGACAATCAAAATTTGCATTTGATACCTTACTATATATTTAAGATTAAAGTTAGTCACAATGTCAATGTTTCTAGGATGAAGGGACTTAGGGATCAATCACATTATATTTGTAACATACCAACCCCGCTTACACTACTTTTCGTTGTCAATGATTAGTTTTAATATAATGAAACCTCAACTGATCGATCATCAGTTGATTAAGTGTTCATCTCGATCTCTCCCATAACTTTTGCCATATAATTAATGCACATGGTATATTTCCTCCCTGCTTCTAGATCACTACACATTTGTAAAACCTCTAGAAGAGCATAATATAGAAGAGATCCATGTTTGAGAGGATAAAAGATCAATAAGATCATAGTGTCCTCCTTAAATAATGACAAACTAAGCTTTCCTATGCAAACAAAATACAGCTTTCTGTACAAAGTAAAAAGAATCTAAAATCACTGTACAACTAACAATATTTTAATTCAATCTTGTAGCACATGAATATGTAGTTTGTACAACAACCAAAAATGCATGATTGTGGCTGCTACTTTAATTTATAACGAATTGAATATGATAGATAATATGCTAATAATAATATCATGTCATAAATAATGAAATAATGAGCTGAGGTAGGAATAAGTAACATTGGGTGTACACATCAAACACGTGATTTATTATTGTACAGTAGGACTATGTTCTATGCAGCCTTTGTTTTCTTTTTCCACCTCACAAAATTACAAATCCTATAGAATACAGTTGGTGTTTTGTATTAGGAGTAGGATCACTAATATAAAGTATGACTTAATTATATACTCCGTAATTGTTTGTGAGATTTTGGGTAGGAGACTAGATAGGAGAACACTTTCGGGCCAAACAAAGTACGCAGCGATATACTTCCTATAGATCTTAATTGAGGCCTACTTAGTGTTTGAAACCATCTAATTCATGCCTTGGTTCACAACTTATAATCATTGTCTTGAGATTTCTTATTTTATCTAAAGATATCGTGTTTATGTAAAAAAAAAAAAATGGATTGCCAAAACTCACAAGTAATTCTGATCCACTAACCTCAAATTCGTACAACCTTTAGTTTCTTTGCATCATAAAGGACATTTAAGGAGCATCTCCAATAATAAGTTACAAATAAGTTACTTTGTAACTTATTATGCCACATCAATTTTTAAACTACAATATTTTTTAGTATCAAAGTGCATGAGAGGAGTGATATATAGTATTAAAATGGAATAGTTTGTTGAATATAAAAGTATAACCCTTAAAAAAAAAATCACATTTATAAGTATTAAAGGTCTGTTTTGATTAGTTAAACTGAACTGAACTGGATACTTTATGAAAGAAGGAAATTAGGAACTGAACTAATTGGAACTGAATTAAACTGAACTGGAAATAAGCTGAAAAGAACATACCCTAACACTTTATAAAAAAAACGAAGAGTGTAATGTTATCTCCTTACTCTCCCCCATCCTCAATGTGCACAATTTCTTATGTTGAGCTAGGTTAAGGCTCTGTTTGGGAGTTTGCTGATAGTTGTTAGAGATTAGCTGATTGAGTTAGCTTATTTGACTAGCTGATTGTGTTAGATGATTTGACTAACTGATTATATTAGTTGTTTGTGTAAAACTGTTTGGTAAGTAGCAGTTAGTTATAAACTATTTTTGAGATCAAATGACCAAAAAGCTATAAGCTCTTCCAAAAAGCTCCTAATATGAGCTTTTTGAAAAAGAGTTTTTTTATCCCAAAACTCTCTTCCAAACCTCTAACTACCAAACACCCGATATAGCTTATTGAGTTGGTCAAATCTCTCTTTCCTCTCAAACCTCTCTTTTTCCCTCAAATCTCTAACTCCCAAACACCCCCTAAATCATATAGAAGAACTCACCCAAAATTCATGTCTATACAGAATTGCTTTCTTATTGCAATAAAGTAAAGTATTAGGAAAAAGCAAGGAGTACGATATGATGTTATGGCTAAGCTCCCACCTCCAATCGATGTGATCAAGCCATGTATTCGATACATAATAATTAGGAATTTACATAGTGAGTACTTAATTGAAAAAAACAATTGACATAAAACATGCGAACAAACAATTGAACCAATAAAATTATATCTTACCAACGACCGTCCAAATGGTTCACATGTAGATGCTCCCTTGGTCCTATGTTTAATACTCCTTCTTATGCTGCACCAAATTCAAACATGGTATGCATTAGTATTTTAACAAAAACACTGGGCCCCATATGAAAGTCCTCTAGTAATTTCTACATTCCCAACAATACAAAATGAGAGTGAGGAATAGCTCAAGTGGTTAAGGCTTCTCTCCCGTCACCTTTATCAAGAACTTTTGACACTTTGTAGAAGAATCAACATTGCATTGCATTTTAATGAGATGATGATAGTTTAACAATGTCATCAACGAACTCTTGAATATTCCGATCCAATGATCCGCCACTGGCCACCGCGTCCCTAGCCATGGACTTCCATTCCACTGCCTTGGCCCGAATCTCGGCCGCCCTTGGTCCATCCATGATCTCTTCAATGCACTCCTTAATGGTCTCACTTTCAACAAGCCCATCATTATAGGGCCTTAATCTTAGCCCAACACCAAATATGTCAGCCATAAGCTTAGCATTAGTGGGCTGGTCAGTCCACATTGGGTAAGCAATAACAGGAACACCAGCACTAATTGTTTCTAACATAGAATTCCAACCACAATGTGTTACAAAACAAGCAATAGATTTATGTGACAAAACCATAATTTGTGGACACCATGGTACCACTAGCCCTTGTCCCTTAGTTTCATCCAAAAATCCCTTAGGAAGTTCACCGGCACCCTCGGTCGTCTGAATTTGGGACGGCTTCACCACCCAAAGAAACGGCCTCTTGCTCTCCCTTATCGCGGTTGCCATACTCTCCATTTGTGTTTTCGAAAGGACTACCAAGCTCCCAAATGACACATAAACTACCGAGTTAGGATCCTTTTGGTTAAGCCACTCTATGCATCTATCATCAGCTTTCCACATATCAATCCCAACAAAATCGCGCTCTTCATGATCATCTTGTCCTAAGAGTGTCGAAGGGACTAATGGACCGACTCCCTTAATCACGACGAATTTTGACATAGAATCAATCACTTCTTTCTCTAACTCATAGAAAGAATTAGCCATAACCCACCTCAACTTATGAATGTTTTCCATGGATTCAAAAAACACATTTGCTAGACTCCCAAAAACATTAAAAGGGAGCACAAAAGAAGGAAGATCAGAAGTTTGTAGCAATGGTAAACCCGGTAAATTCACGCTCTTTTCGGGGTTTTCTTTCGTAGGAAAATCTTCAGGACTTTTGTAAAATCCATGGTAGATTGCAAAGAGTGTGCATGGTTGAATCCATAGCATACCACACGGTATTCCTAGTCGCACCGCCACGTCAGCAACCCATGGCACAAAAGGGTTATTTATAACACATGAAAATTTCTTTGGACTAGTAATGTCACAACCTAGAGACGTAATAAGGCTAGTCAAATTTACCGGTCCAAATTCGGCTAGTGTCTTCATGTACGTGTCTAGGTTGCTCTTACGGTCATACTCTAGGCTTAGCCCATCGGAGAAGGACACGATATCGATCCCCGATATAGAGGGGATCTGATTGTCGGTGTTGGTGGTGGTGGTGGCAGTCGTCAAATGGTTAATTTTCGCAATTCGGTGGAGGAAAATTTCGGTGACGGCAAGAGTAACATGAAGGCCTTTGTTTTGTAAGTGTTTACCTAGTCTAAGCATAGGGTTAATGTGACCTTGGGATGAAAATGCTACCATTAAAACATGGATTTTTTTGTTTTCTTCTTCCATTATTGGTGTTCAAACAATTTATTAGACAAGAAGCAAAATTAATTTTGAGAGTATGTAGATTTGTTTGAGCTAATAAATAAATGCATGACGACTGAACTTATTTTGTACGAATTAAAGTAAACCATATATTATTTGTCTGGAATAGAATAGATAAAGTGGAAAAATATGTGGTTATGCCTTAGTTTTACTGTAAGGTGGACCGTTGCAGCACTATATAATAAAATGTTAATCATGGAAGAAAACAAAACTCTTTTTTTTTTTTTTTTTTTTTTTTTTTTTTTTACACAAACAAAACTCTAAACATAATGTGAGTATATTAAACGTAATTTGTTCGATGATGTTGAAGTTGCATTGGTCATTTAGTTATAATTAAGTAGTTGTCTTTAGAAGTTTAGATGAAGACAAACCTCTTTTTTGTCAATCCCCCACGTTGGGTTTTCATTTAATGGTGCTAAAAAATGTTTCATATGAGTAATACGTATTACACTAACATATCCTCTCTTTTTTTCACTTACATACTTTAAAAAAAAAATTGAGGTGTAAATCACTTGTTGATGACTAGAGTTGTCAAAATCATACCCGATTCAACCTGATCCGAAACCGATCTAAAAATATCAGATTCAAATTTCAACTCGTGTAGACACAATAATTTAGCATGATTAAAGTTTTAAAATAAATCCAACCTAATTAAACTTGATCCAAACATTCAAATTGACACTTTATCGATGACACATCAATAATCGTGTACTTTTATGCTTCGTATATACTTATTCATAAAGTCTTCAATTGATTGAGACTTTTTACATCTCGTCTGAATTAGAATAGGGAGTACTTTTTATTAGTGATAGCATCATGACAAATAATAATAGTGACAAAATCTGTAATGCACTAATGCCACATGAAATATGAGCATGTCCTTTTATAAATACCTATAAATGGATCATTTTGCTTCAGTAGGCCCAATAAGAAAAAAAAAAAAAAAGCTAGTCAGGGTCCATTTCTTGCTTTTAAGAAACAAACTACATAAGCCCACTGTTTGGTTAGTCAGTAGGTCAGTACCTGTTTTATACTGGCCAGTGAGCCACTGTACCTATTAGGCTGTTCTTAGTTGGGAAGTGGGGAACTGATGAGTGAATGAGTAATGATGTCCCTTAAAATAAATAAATAAATGGTTCAATAATAATAATACTCCGTTTGTCTTCACTCTTGAGTACTCATAACATTTTGATTTTGACAATTGCATATATTACCTTTAACTATATATTTTACTATAATTAAAATCAATTGATGTTATTACGGGATTTATAATACGGAGTATGTTGTTGGATTAGTATTATGCTTCATCCGTTTTTTTTTAATAACAACATTTGAAGTTTTAATTTTCAATATTCGTTCACATTATTTTGACATTTTTGTGATTTATACATTAGAAAAACATAGTCATATAGACTCTTGTTATATATTCGTCTCGATTTATACTTTCAAAATAATACTCTGTAATTCTTTATAAACTTTTTCATGAGTATGATTAGATATATTGCGATATAAAATGTGTATTTACGAACATGAAAACTCAAACATTACACTAAAAATGAACAAATAGACTATACATAAATACTAGACTCCCTTATTGGGTAGATCTACTAGTTATAATTCACATTCATAAAACAATAACTACATGAATTTTTCATCATTTTTTTTTTCATTTAAGCCAAATTTTACTTTGAGTCTTTGTCTAGGAAGTGAGTGTTTTAATGTATTTAGTCTTAGGCACGAATCGAGATGACGTGGACTTAACGGGTTCGAACAAGTTCTCAAAAGATAGGTCCAAAGTTTTCAATTGACTTTGTTGGGGGTAAAAGCCTAGCCTCTATATTCATAATTTAACCCGGTCTGACATATGACTTTGTTGGGATTGTTATAGCTCAGTCTAACAAAATGATATGACATTAATCAGCCCAATACTCTGACTTACTTACCATAACTTTCTTCATACTGCAGTTTATAACTTCCTACTGCTAACTTTTGTTAAAGGCCCATGTCGTCTAATCAAAAACTATACGTAGTATTACTTTTACAAGCAAAACTATTGAAGTTGTCAAGACAGAAAGGGAATAGTTAAATTTCTTTTCGTCTTTTTATAGTTTGTAGTCTTAATTACGGAACGATTTTAAGCTTTAAGTTCTAATTTCAACTACGGATAAAAATTCAAACATTTTATTTGAATTTTCACTCTTAAAGTTAAATCAAAACTTCAACTAATAATTCGGATTTGCATGGTATATTGATACATACTTTATAAATATGAAATTGTGCACAAAATATTGAAAATTTAATAAGAAAAACTAGTAGTATCACTACAGCCAAATAAAGCAAAGGTAACAGTGCAAAACCATTGCCTAATACAAAAAAAAATGCTGCCTTGTAGCTAAGGCAACACATATGAGGCGTAGTATATGCCCCCGTTGTCTATTCATAAGGCAACACATTTTTATTCAAATGCAACAATTTTGAAAGCCAAGGTAAAATGATGCATAAAGCAACACTTTTACAAAGACAACAAATGAAAATTGTTGTCATTTAAGGAGACAATTTAAAAATGTTTCTAAATGATGATGCTACTCCCAAGCATTTAGTAGTTGGTAGGGCTCGAACTGAGTTCCCCACCAACTCCACCAAAAACACACACACACACACACACACACACATATATATATATATATATATATATATATATATACAAACTCGCCATAAAAACAACATCTTAAATTATGTTGTCTTTTTAATATAAATGTTGCCATAGACGGCAACATAGATATAAATGTTACATTTTTAAACAATAGTTTTGTTATTGTTATCTTTTCATGCAACAATAATTATGTTTGTTGTCTTAGACAAGAAAAAGGTAACACTTTAAGCGACTGTTGTCATATATAGTCTAGAGCAACACTTTTTTTCTCTGTTACTTTAATTCAAGGTAACAAATAAATTTTGTTGTGTTAAATTATTAAGAGTAATATTTCGGTAAGTGTTGCAATCTTAAGTGTTGTCAATTCTCATTTTTTTGGTAGTGTATATTGAAAATTCAGTAACAAAAAACTAAGAGTAGCTAGATTCTAAATACTTGTGCTAAAGTTTGAAACAAAAGTGGAAAATTGGAAACTAAATAATCCTAGACAATAATGTCCCAAGTTAAGAATTTTAAACATTTCAAGTTAACAAATACGTAGATACGAAAGTATGCGAATAATATAAAATTAAAGTAGAAGATCTAAAAAGATAATTTTAAGTATTATATGTCCTTTTAGCTAGCAAATTTTTTGTTCTTAGACTTACAAAAAGCTTGTAGGAAGACTTGGAACTCACTAGTAGCTAACTTTTCCAAACACTCGATCAAATTATGACAAGTCATTTTCCTAGGCCAATGTTTCACTATATCCCTTCAAAAATGCTTCGTTAATTTTCCACTTAATTTTGGGATTTTTCTTTGTTGCCTTCCTACTTTGAAACCAAATTAAATGAATATAAAAATTTAGGCGGCCCTAGAAAATACAAGTTCCAAATTAATTAAATTTAATCAACATAATTGTTTGAATTATATTATGTCCCCCTCTTAACGAAGTCCAAAAAATCCAAACACAAATTTCTAAATTCTAAAATACTATATAAAGTATAAACCCCCACAATAAGCATTGTTTCATGCAAATTGCACAAAGCACAAGCACAAGCCTTTTGCCTTCAACGTTACGACACCCAACCTCTATTGTCCTTAATTCCTTATATATTATATAGTTTCTAATTGCTATATATTATAAGTAACAAAGTCATACATCATTTATGATGCATTGCACTCCTAAACATATTGTATACTGTATGAGTAAAATTATGGCTCTTTTATTCCTCCTTTCTCTCATTTTATGCTCTATTCTCTCGGAGGTGGATGCTCGGCGGTTACATTCCAACAACCACGACGACAAGAGCTTTGCTATTGGCTCGATGATGAGTTCGGGTCCTAGCCGAGGTGGTGCAGGGCATAAGAGGCTTAAACACTTTGAAGTATTCAGTGTAAGCAAGGACTCTGGTCCTAGTCCTGGTGTAGGTCATCATAAGTATGTTAAAGATAATCATAATTAATATTTTTCTCTTTTCATGCAAACTTGTTTAATTTGCAATACTAGAGTAAATATATTTTGTAATGTTATTTCTTTCAACTTTGTAATTTTTAAAGAAGTTGATTAGATATATACTACTATATCATATACTTGCAAACTTTGATGGTCTTGATTTATGAACAGCTAACAGAATATTTTGTCTATGTCTTTTATTTATTTATAATAATTAATCTTGTGTATTGACTTGTAATTAGTTGTTACATGTTAATGATCTTTAATTTGGCTTTGAAGTGATTATTAAATAATTAATGACTATTCATTCAATTTGCATGGCATACCTAATGATGTGATAATTATTCCCTTAATGTGTGCAACCAATAATTAGGCATAAATCACGATCATCTAAATATTATGTGTTGACCCTTGTGTAGTTACGTCTTATAATCTTATCTTAAAGCAAAATTGCTAGTGATATTAAGGGTAAGCCTTATGGACCATCTCGTGCACGTAAGTTTTAATCTCATTTATGGAATTCAAATAATGAAGTACAGTGCTTGAATTGGTATGCTACGTATGTGCATATCTATGTCCCGTCTTTAGTTGATCGACTGATTTCATGTATAAGATTGATATATAGTGTTACATCGTACCCTTCAGTGATCTTTAAAGATTGTCTTATTTAGAATGTCTTGGTTAAAGAGTCAAACTTTAGCCATGAATATTTACCGATAATATACTGATGACGTTAAGATAAAAATCACAAGGGAATAAAGAAATAGTTGACCAAGAGATGATGTACAGCCTGGCCATCTTTATTTTTCTCTCCACTCACAAATCCTAGAAAAAATTTGTGGAATTGTGGTCAATGTAAGGGATGGTCAAACCTTAGTTTTTCCAAAATTTTCGTTCATACTCAGAGGCTTTTTTTAGGCTAGTTTAGGTTTTTTTTTTTTTAAAAAAAATAAATAAATTCTCAATCCGTATTTAACTACTTACAGGTTACAACTTACAAGTATATATATATATATATATATATATATATATATATATATATATATATATATATATATATATTTTTCCTTTTTTTGAGACACTTACAAGTATAACTTAACAACGGAAAAAAAATAACACCTTGTATTAAAGGATATTAAGAGTATAAATTATTCCTTTTTTTTTTAAAGAAAAAATTATTGTCTTTAAAGCAAGTAAAAATAGAAGTTATTTGACTATGCTTTGGAACTTTATTTTTCATTGAATTGTAAAATCTATACTATATATTAAAAGGCGTTTATAAAATTGTGTATGTGTCACGTGTACCCTTTCTTACACCCGTATTACGCCACATCATCATTCAATAACCTCTACCATCATGCCACATCATCATTCAATTATCCAAATTAAATTAAAAATGTATGCAAAGAGATTCGAACCTAAACTTCATTGAATAAAAACCACATACATTGTCATCTTAGCTAGAATTAAATTATAATCTATGTTTTACATTTATGTATAAATGCGTATAGTACAAGTATTATAATGTAATATTAAAAAATTAAAAAAAAATCCAAAACGAGTTATTGTTGTCATTGTTTTCAAATTTACCACGTAACAAAATTATGAAGTACATCTTTTAAAGTGCCAAATATAAAAACGAAATTATTCAAAGTATCACCCGAGGCAAAGCTCGGGCCACACACTAGTTGATTTATTAATAAAAGGTACTTTGTACTAACTAAATGCTAATCAACACATTTCAATGTTGAAAACTTAACAACATCTAACAACATACAAGTATATTTTAACAATTACTCCACCCAAAAAAAAAAAGAGTATATTTTAACAATTAGCCTTTTCAAAATCATTGGGCACATGTTGGTTTCCTTGGTGGTAGTAGTAGTTGTGAGGGGCAGAGTGCATGACCATCATTTCAATGAGACTACGGCATGTTAGTTTGCATCATCTGTATTTCTCTTGTTCTCAAAGTTCTACTTAAAACATAAATTTTCTTTTACGACTCTTGCTATGAAAAAAATTCCTAAGGACAAATAATTGTTCTTCAATCTTCATAGATGCACTTGTACAATGGACACATATGCACGATTTTTAGTATGTGTCAAAATTAAGAACACGTCACAACTACATATATTAAAGAATCGGTGCACCAAATAAAAAAACAAAAAGATCGGTCATTAAATAAAAGAACACATATAGTTGAAAATGAAATAATGCGAATATCATAACGCAAGTACTAAATGCAGTACAAAATAACCTAAATACAGAAATTAATTAATAATATGAAAATAATAAAATAACTGATATACCCTTTTCCAAAACGAAAAAACTGATTTGCCATTTCACCCGGCTTTTTGTTGTTACATTTTTTATTTTGCAATTCATTATACTTGCCAATTTTTTTCATTTCATTCACCATTTTTTTTTTTTGCAATTAAATTTCACCATTTCATTCCCTTAAATTTTTTCAATTTGAGCCCTAGAGACGAATAAGTCGTTCACCGCTCATAAACCATCCGGTCTTAGGTTTTTTTTTCGTTTAATTTTTTTGTTGAATTGTTATAATTTTTCATTATAAGTACCCCGACTTTGTTTTTCGGGGGTACTAGAGACCCCCAGAAATCTTAGCCGGGGGGTACTGAAGACCCCCGGAAATCTTAGCTGAGGGGTATTGGAGACCCCCGGAAATCATAGCCGTGAGGTATTGGAGACCCCCGGAAATCCTAGCCGGGGGGTACTTGAGACCCCCGGAAATTGTATAAGGGGGATGCTAGAGACCTTCAAAAATCTTAGCCGTATAAAATGAAAATTTTATGTTGTTTGATTGTTCATCTATTACATCACATAATTTTCATACCTCAAAAAAATATCATAGTGCACTTCATTATTGTCTAGGAATTTGTATAGTATTGAATACTCCGTATTAAATTGGATACAAGATTGAATACGTTAGAATATGGTTGTAAATTAAACAGTTGAGATGATTATAGAGTTAGGAGTGTACGTGATTTAATTTTAATCATTTAAAAAAGTGTAACGGATTAAGTTAAAACAAGGACAAAATTGGAATATAATTTTTTTTTAAAAAATAACTTATTCTGCATTTAGGTAAATTTGTCCTGCATTTAGTACTCCCCACTCTTTTATGTATACACTTATAGCTGAATAAAAAGACTAATTGTGTATCTAGTGGTGTTAAAAACTAACTCAATTGCCCAGATTAGAAAAAAATCAAATTGAGTTTTAAGTATGAAAATAATAATTTAACAAAACTTAAATTTAAAATAGACCTGAGTTGATCCGACCTTACAAAACCATACACCCAACACCTCTACGCATAAGTGTAACCTTGAGGTCACAAGGTAAAGTCACGATTAAACCTAAGTCGAACTACGGAATAGCTAATTAAGCGAATTTGACCGAGGAGCTAGACTTTGTCCCGGTGAAACAAAGCACCCGAACGAACCCTCTTCACTTGGGAGAACCAGAAAATGACAGGACCTTTATTTTTCCGGCAAGTTCTCCGTTCTCCGGCAGCCGCCGCCAAATTCGAAACTTTCTACCAACAACAATGTCATCGTTTCACCTCCGCCGCCGTTAAACAGGAAACCCACCAGTCTACGGCAAAAAACGACGGCGGTGACGGTGGGAGAGGCAAAGGAAAGTGGGTGACTGTGCCGCCGTATACCTCAACCGTAAACGTCGATTCATTGGGTAGAAGATTAAGCCGCCGAGATATTGAAGCACAAAATGAGTCCATCAGAACGACGATGTCTGCTTTGAAATGGGTTGTTCGTTGTTGCCCTCATCTTCCTCAATCACTTGTTCAGAAACTCTTTCGTCTTAGACAGGTTTGTTTTTCTCTCTCTTCTTCAGAAATTATGAACTGCTACTGATTGTAATCTTTTGGTGGTTGTTAAAAAATCGATTTTTTTAATTATGTTTGATGTATGTGAATATAAGGTTTTTGTTAATCTCTTGAATCATGAAATTGTTTCATAAAGTAAATTTGGTGTAATGTTACTGACATTTTTACTTACCTCTTAATCTTGATTGTATTGGGGTGTTCTAATGTAATTATGTGATATAGTATATGTATCTAATTATGAGCCGTTAGGACAATGTGACAATTAATTCCAGACGAAGGGATTGTTCGTGATTGGTTTTAGCCTTTTAGGTGTAGGGAAAGATTAAAGATAGCACTAGAGGAAGTCGGGTTTGGGGGGAAAAGGGAATTTTTGGGAAGATTAATGCTTTAGAAGACTCATTATTTGAGGCTGTGGCAGGTTAGAAGAGACTGCATAGAAGGAGATGTGGACTGCAGCGGTGATGCCCAAGAACGCCGGTTGAAAAGGGTAATTTGAACGTGATTGCTCGTGCAGTCTATATGTTTCTATGATCATTGCTAATGATATTTGTTAAGTGTCTAATTCTGAGTAGTAATTTTGATTATTGGAAGGTGGGAGCTAAGGACTTGATGAAGAAAGGAGAGCGTGTTTTTCTTCCTATATCTGTTCAAGGATCATCACCTGTGAAGAAGCAGAAAAAGTATGAGTGCAGTGAAGAAGAAATGAACTTCATCCGCGGCCTTGAGTTGTATAAGGTTCTATAATGTTGACTTTGTAATTTTGACTGTTGTTTTCTGAGTTTCACTTGGATAATGACTTTTGGTATGGTGTAATTTCAGGATTCTGCTATTATTGCTATCAATAAACTCCCGAAACTGCCAGTACAGGTAATGTGGGCAGGTATAACATGAACATTTTTGCATTTGCTGCTGTGATATTTAAGAAACTATGCATCTTGCTTCATTCTTACAGTGATCAACATTCTTTAGGGTGGCATTGGGATCAAAAAGAGTTTAGATGAATTGGAAGCTACGTGTCTGAGATATGACTCCAATGAACCTCCCAGGCTGGTGAGTTATATTTCCTTTACAATTCTAACACGAACTACCTCTTTGTAAAGTGTTGGGGCAAAGTGTATACATCAAAGCTCCCTTTGTCTATCCCGCACTGGATGGCTGTTAGAAGTGATGCGGTAATGGTATATTGGCATTGAGTGGTCATGGTATCATGTAAATTGCTGTTGGTTAATGTCCAAAGTTTGGTAGAGCACATGGTGTGTTCTATTGTTTGTGACTTTGTGGTGTAAACTGCAAAGTCAAGAGGGAACTTATGAACTATTGTGTTAAGTTTGTGACAAAACGTATGAACCATTTTTCTTTTTGCATGAGGGATATGCACATGCATACCCATCTTGCGAACTGCGTCTGCCACTGCTTCTGCTGTAAGGGATGTTGTCTAAGAAGTAGTCTCTAGGGAAGGATTGAATAAAATGTAATGTTATAATTGAAGGAAAGTGGACCAGTATGTAAGATCTCAAATTATAAGTACTTCATTTGTATTGCTTGGAGCTTTGGAAGTAGTATTTGAAGAGCAAAAATGTATATTGGGAGCGTCAACACTCATGAGATATTTGTACACGACAATTTTTGCAGGTTATCTTGAATATGTGGAGGTTAGAAGCAGATGTTATGTATCTGTGGTTTAAGTCTCAGAACAAGGCTGAACCACTGAATCATCTATCATTTATTTAGTTGTCTTGCTTTCTTGTCTAAATAAGTCTGTTACTGAAAAGTTCATGTTTCTTTAAGGTACACAGACTCGATAGAGATAGTAGTGGAATATTAGTGATGGGAAGAACACAAACAAGCACAGCAATCCTTCACTCTGTTTTCCGTGAGAAAACTATTGGTACCCTGGAAAATGTAAGCTGTAGTTTTCAACTTAAGTTGTGTTCTTTCTTGACAGGCCATCGCTTAAACATTAACCTCAATCCCCCCCCCTCTCAAGTTGCTGTGAGGAAGCAACTGTCATAGCTAATAAGAGAGATGAAATAATTTTAATTTCAGAACGAGATTGACTGGGGGAAGATGATCCTACAAAAGAGATACTTGGCGCTTGTCTTTGGAGTTCCTAAACACTGCAAGGGATTGATCTCAGCACCACTAGCAAAGGTACTTACTCTTGTCATTAACCTCTTACATCTATCGTTTATCGTTTATATATATTCCTATAATGTTTCTTTAAACTTTTAACACATACAATACATGGCTCAAGTTAGCCTTTGATCAGGTTGTACTCAGCCTGTCTGTTGTTGTGGTGTCACTTATTCTCCATTACGGTTAAACTCCTCCTTTTCAGCTATAATATTACATTGTTGTCATGCTTTAAAAATGTATGGAAATTCTTCTCTTGTTGCTGAATTTCCACTGATCTTTTGACATATAGTGTATGTTAAGATGTCATTGATTAAGCCTATTGGAAAGGTTGTGCCTGTGAGGCAAACACACATCTGTTGGAAAGGTTGTTCTCTTATGGTTGCTGGACTATCATAGTTTCACACACACCATTAACACATAATACAGAGGCAAAAGATCGAATCGATTGATAATATTGAAAAGCAGGGGTTTGTACAAGCTAGCAACTTTAGGATGCCAATCTCTATTAGTGACTTTAGGTCACAACTCTCTGAAGGATCCACTCCCAAACTTCTGCCTCCTCTCCCCCCCCCCCCTATTTATAATAAAGCTTAAGACTACTAACCTAATAGTACTAGACTAGACTAGACTACCAATATTGCCCCTCCTTAGGTTAGTCTATTACATTCTATATGAAGTAGAATCAGCCCCATGAAAATTTTAACCCATATTCTGAAATAAGATTTGTGTTGAAAGAGGAGCCGTGCTGATCTTAGACCTGTGGTCTCACAATCATGTGTTAAGCCACTGCTCCATATCACTCTGCTTCGATGGCTCCCACACAGCAATATTGCTTTGGCCCTCCAACCCTTTTTTTTTTTTGGTTATGTAAAGTGGTGTTATGATATTAAAAAGGGTGTAAAATAGGTATATAAACATACTAGTACGGCAGTACCACACTCTTTCTAGTTGTAGTTTGTGTTCTTTTATATTGATGGATTCATCATTTGTTGATATGAATATATTCTGTTAGTTGTTTTTTTTGTAATCCTGATACAATGGAGTTTACCTGCCTATCAAATATTACGAAAATTGGACATTTGGACCTGCATACATTCTACTTTTGTAATTGTACATATCATTGCCTTGTGTAAGCACTGTTTTTGAACTGGTATTAGATTATCATTCTGTTTTATCATTGCACATAAGCTGAGATCCAACCCTCTTTGCTCCCCCCCCCTCCCTTTCCTAACCATCATATCTTCACATCATCTGACTACTATGTGGTGGTTGTGTTTGAATAACTATTAGCGCTAGTAATTGAGAGTCATCAATTCACTTGTACTTCATATTATTTTAGGTCTTGGTAGATGATGGAAAGTCAGAACGAATTACTATTGCAGACCGTGCTTCCTCATCCCAGCATGCTATTACAGAGTATAGAGTCTTCGAGACTTCTGATTATGGTAAATTATTTTTTTATACATTTTTTAGCATAAAAGGTTTTCGTTCTAACTGGATTTTGTTCTTGTATGCTGTTCAAAGAGGGGACTTATGAATTTGAGGTGATTGTTTCCGGGCTTGGACGGGAAACGTGCTGCCGGGCCTATACTTCATTTTTTGTCCAACGGGCTAATTGTAGCTAACCCGAGCCCTTTTATGCGGGCTTGATAAATTGTCCAAGCCCGCTCTATTAACGGGCTGGGCTTGCCCGCGGGCTCACGGGCCTAAATTATTTGTTTTACATATATTTAACACTAATTATTTTTTTTTTTTATATAATTTACATATGCTAATATTATTTCGATTTAGTTATCTTAAAAATTCTTGATCACTAATGATACTAGAAAAAAACATATTTAACTTGTGACATATGTTAGTGAAAAAAAGGAAAGAATGAACTTATTTAATACAAGTATAATGATTAAATATAAAATTCAAATAAATAGTTGTAGCTAATAATAGGTTAGAGTCCAATATAGTCTCTTTGTATTTATTTTCTAAAATATACTACATAATCAACTAACTAAAAAATCATTTAACTATTTTTTTTTTGAAGTAAACGGGCCGGGCGGGCTAGCCCATGGTACATATTGTCTTGTCCGTGTCCGCCCATTTATATTAACGGGCCGGGCGGGCTAGCCCATGGTACATATTGTCTTGTCCGTGTCCGCCCATTTATATTAATGGGCCGGGCCTAGCCCGCCCAAATTTCCAATTTTTTCAAAATGGTTGTCCAAGCCCGCTTATTTTGCGGGCCGGGTTGGGCGGTTTTAGCGGGTTGACCCGTCCATGAACAGCTCTCCGAATATATATCGCTGACATTTTAATTTTCCTGATAATTTCCCAGGGTATACATGGTTAGAGTTATGCCCAGCCACTGGCAGGAAACACCAGGTAAATTCTGATGGACATCTTTACTCCTGACTATGGTCTTTACTCCATGTCAGGATTTAATTTAACATTACACCCATCTATCAAATTGCCAAATGCAGCTTCGAGTACATTGTGCTGAAGTTTTAGGTACACCTATTGTTGGAGACTACAAATACGGCTGGCAAGCTCATCGGAGATGGGAACCTTTAGCACCAAGTCCCAACGAGAAATTTGTTGAAGCAAAACCAGATCCCCTTGGCCTTGATTTAGAATTCGGCAGCATCACTGAAAAGCAACCCCATTTACATCTGCACTGTAAACAGATGGTTTTGCCGAACATTTCTCTCGCTCTTGATCATGTCTCCCCTGATTCAGATTATGACTTCTCTAAGTTGGAGAGCGTAAACTTGGTAGCCCCCTTGCCATTGCACATGCAGAAGAGTTGGGACCTTCTGAAGTATCTTGCTCAGCAAAGTTCCTGATCATCGTTCATTAGTAAATGGTACTCTCAACTTCTCTAATTCTTTCATCCATTTTTAGCAAACCTAGTTAATGTCATGTTTTCGGCTTATATTATTTAGTTTTGCTTCTGATAGAGATTGCAATATAGCCTCTAATGTGTTGATTTCCTTCTTGGTGTTACACAGTCATGATTCTTTTCTAGAGTAGGTTTAGCAAAAGAAGTGAGATTGTAGCAACTTCTATGTAATACATTTCAACCTTATCTTTTTACATTGAAGCATCTCGACCAGACCTTATGTAAAATGAAACAATATTTACTTTTAAAACTCTATAGATATTATACTCTCTCGGTTCAGATTGTATTGATTCAGATAGAAAAAATTGGTCAATATACGGAGAAACAATTTATTCTAGACGGAAGAAGTAATACATTAGCTGATAAATGTTTTAGTAGTTTTCTTTACGATCTACAAGGGCGAAATCTGAAATGATATTATATCCACAACAATGTCAAAATTACATGAAAAGCAATATTGATGTCGATATGAGATGAGAACAGAAAAGCAAGAAAAAAGTTGCTGGGTTTGAACTTGAAGTGCAAACATTGTAATACGGGGTGCCATCTTACCAACCACAACAGTGTAAAATAGCGCAAAATTGAGAGATTCAGATTGAGTGTCAAACAACTGAAGAAAAGTGCTCGAATTATGGGCAGCAAAATATCATTTTCACACCTACCCAACTTTCAAAGTTAAGTATGGTGGGGTTTGGATCTCGAATTCTTTCCTACTACTTTTCCTTCTTGTTTATCTTCGTTATATCTTGTCTAGTCAATTTTGATATACCTAAAAATTTGTGGCTCTCACACCTTTTTGTAAGTTCTTGTATGAGATTTATTATGTCTCTATCACTAAGCCTTTTTTTTTAAAAAAAAAAGGTATATCACTAATTTACTGAAAACAATTGAACTGGACTGATTGGAGATGAACTGGGCTGAAATGAATTGTTTATAAGATAAGGAAATTTAAAACTGAATTGAATTGAATTGAAATTAAGCTGAACAGAACAAGCCATAAGCCATTGAATGCCTAATTCTTGGTGGATACTCAAAATATTTTCTTAAAAAAAGACTTTGGCAATAAACTATGATATAAATATATGTGATTCATTATAAATATTAGTTAAAATTCATTATGTCACTTGATAATTTGGTGAAGACACAAAATATATGAATAATAAGACTTTGACAATAAACTATGGTGTAAATATATGTGATTCATTATAAATATTAGATGAGCTTCATTATGTCACTTGATAATTAAGTGGAAATCCAAAATACATGTATAATAAGACTTTAAAAAAAAATATGTCTCTCTCACCATGTTAGATGCTTCGAAATTGACTTTTTCATGTTTTGGTGAAGTTAATCATGAAGAAGAAGAACCATTCATGATTAGACCATTCTACTAGAGGTAGGTAGCTATTGAAGTAATTAACTAGAAAATCTCCCATGCATGTAAATAAACATGAAATTCTCCTAATTTGTTTGCTATAGATAGAGGTAATGAAAATATGTGCTTGCCCAATTAGGTAAATAAACCAGATTAAGAAATACTCTAAACTAATCTTCAGTTTGAATCAACTTCCTCCTACAATCCTCCTTATAACACATTATAGTGCCGAGATTTTCACTAGACTCTAGTGACCATTGTGTTACTTTATACTCCCTTAATTAGATTTCTACTTCTCTCTATTATGTGAGGAACAAATGCTAGAAATAGAATTCTAATTAAGCGACGGAGGGAGTACTATTTATCTAAAGTTGTCAGATATTATGGAGTAATAAGTAAGGAGTATTAATTTTTGTTTTATAAAAAAAAATCAAGAATGTCAAACTAGTATCAATGATTGTGTCTTTTTATATAAACTATTACAGAGTACTTTATACTTCCTCTATTTTTTTATAGTTATGACAGTTTGACTTTTACACTATAAAAGTTTTTCACTTTAATTAGCTTTAATAATTTATACTTAAGCAAGTATATATAGTCACGTGGAATCTGATTAAATATGTCTCGATTTAGACTATTTTAACATCAAATGTTTATAATTTTTACATATTAATAATTAAGGATATTAACAATTGAAATTATGCATCAGCAAGCGTGAAAAGTGAAGTATAAATAAAACAGAGAAAGTATAATTTTATCCAGAATGACTTGTTACGCTCAATCATGGCTAGGTTTCTTGACAATGACGACTAAGTGACGCAGCAACCTCAATGGAATTACCTACCACAAAACCACCTTCTTTAACGTACAACCTTTTAAATTTGCCGTGAGTGCGCTTTGGCCTATTTAAACAATTATTGCTGATTTTGCCCTCGTTTCTTGCTCTTTTGCTACCTTCACCAACCTTTTAAAAACAAAATCGTATTTTTAAACATATTTTTATTCTTTTGTTGCGCCTGTCTATATATAATAATTTCATAACTTATCTACCCTTTTCTCCAGTATATATTCCCACTTCTAAGCTCCTTTCTACTCCCACCAATAATATATCAACAACTATAAATAAGAACTCATAGTTTTCTTCAAATTTCACTCTAAATATTTGAAGGAAAAACAAAAAAAAAAAAGGTAACATAAGATGGGTAAACAAGAATCAGAAAGGGTGATCAAAGGATATGCTGCTAGAGACTCCTCGGGTATTCTCTCGCCGTACTCCTTCCCTCTAAGGTACTCGATCTCGACCACCCTCAAGCATTTGTTTTGTTATCTATATGATCCCGGCTTATGATAAGTTGACATGCTAAAAGGGTTATTTAAATTTGAATTGGATATCGCTTTGTTTGTTGAACTGAACGGAATTGAAATAAATTTGTTGATTAGACTCGATTTATTGATCAAAACTGAATTGTTTGTGGATTTGATAGTCTTTTTCAGAATACGTGGTTGATTTTTCGTGCCTAAACATCAAATGTATTAAGCAAAGAACTAGTTTACGTATCTTATTGAGTAATGGTTTTGTGGACCATAAATAACTTAATGATTTTGCATGTACTATAATGGTGAATCTAGAATACTAAGATTGAAGGGGCACTTAGTGAATAATAACGTAGACAATAGATATTTATATTATCAATCAATATAACATAATTTTAAACCAATAAAAAAAAAATTAAGTATTTTTGGTTGGGCCCGTGCCAACCAGGCACCCACATAGATCCTTTAGTGCCATAACTTATACTTCGTAATTTTTTTTATCCTTTAATTTTCATATTTTCAATAATTAATCCAAGTATATACTTCATATATATTTTTCAAATATGCATGGACAAATTATATTTTGGCAAAGTGATATAACAAAAATGGTTAATGTGTAAAACAGGAATACAGGAGAAGAAGACGTATACATAAAAGTAGTATCCTGTGGAATATGTCACACTGATCTTCATCAAGCCAAAAATGATCTTGGCATGTCTCGTTATCCCATGGTTCCTGGGTTTGTATTCGACCCCCTTAACTTAAATCTGTTTTTCGTCCTATGTTTTGATGATTGTACTTTGTACCATTAGTTCCTCTATTATGAATTCATTGTCATGTTGTTTCAATCCTCATGAAATTGCTTCACGTAAAAGGAGACTATGCCATGACATGACATAATATGAATACCATATTATAAAATACGAAGTATTAGAACAAAACAATATAGATTTATTTTGATATATAGAGCATAAACACCCATCATGGTTATTAACTTAATTATAAGTTTTAGGATCTTGCTTGAGAGATAATTACATAATTTAAAAGTTGGTCATCTTTAATCAAAAGCGTTTTGTTTTACCAAACTTGAAATGACATGCTCCGCACCTAATATAGGAATTTGAGGTACATGTTACTCTAAAAAATTCTATCTTGGACCCATTCATCACCCATAACTTTGAAAATATATGGTGTATTGTGTACATGAAGTCTTACAAATCTTAAAAGTTTATCTGAATTTTGTAGATTGATATAATTAGAAAAGTGAATTATTAGCACTCCCACTTTTGACTCCTAATTAGTTCGGATGTAATAATTGGTTACAAAACTGATTCAAATTACACTATCTACGTGTCCTTAGTATAATTCCTCACTATAAACGTGTCAATGATTTTAGTATTATTTATATTTTAATTAACTGTTTTACACTATGCAGACATGAGGTGGTGGGTGAAGTGGTGGAGGTTGGGTCAAACGTGAGCAAGTTCAAAGTAGGTGATTGCGTCGGAATTGGGGTGATCGTCGGATGTTGTAGGAACTGCCACCCTTGCAAGTCGGAAGAGGAGCAATATTGCAACAAGAAGATTTGGTCTTATAATGATGTCTACACTGATGGCAACCCCACGCAAGGTGGCTTCGCTACTAACATGGTGGTAGATCAGAAGTACGCTATACTAATTTAAACTTGAAACTCCATAGTCGATTGGACTTTCATTGAACTCTCCTAACTTTTCACGTGACAACTAATTTTGGACACGCAATAATAACATAGTAAATTTAACATAGAAATGTGTTATATTTCTTGGCAGATTTGTGGTGAAAATACCAGAAGGGATGGAACCAGTGCAAGCAGCCCCACTATTATGTGCAGGAGTAACAATATTCAGCCCACTAAAACATTTTGGGCTAAACAAGAGTGGGCTAAGAGGGGGGATATTGGGCCTAGGAGGTGTGGGCCACATGGGAGTAAAAATAGCCAAAGCAATGGGCCATAATGTGACAGTGATAAGCTCATCTGATAAGAAAAGAAAGGAAGCATTGGATGATTTGGGTGCTGATAATTATGTGGTTAGCTCAAATGCTGAGAAAATGCAAGAATTGACTGACTCACTTGACTATATTATTGACACTATTCCTGTGTTTCACCCACTTGAGCCTTACCTTCCTCTCTTGAAGTTGAATGGCAAGTTGATTCTAAATGGTGTTATTAATACTCCTCTTTCTTTTCTCACCCCGATGGTCATGCTTGGTAAGTCTCGAACCCTTTTCTTTCATAACATTTTTTTATATATATAAAACTTTTAATTATTCAGTCTTGAGGTTCATGATGTTGATATATATAAATTAATGTTGAGGGTTCTTAATTATATAAATAATACTCCGTACCTCTGAAACCAACATTTCTTCTTTAGTGTTATTATTAATTCCATCAAAATATAACTAAACCTCAGATTCGTCTATGACAATTACAAACATCATTTCCCCACACTTTTACTAGATTTACAAAATATTTTAGCCGTTGACTTGTTATATGATCTAAATAAGATATGGTGTCATGTCAAGTCATTCTATTTCAATTGGCATACATTAAGCAAGGCTATTTCAACAATTACGGCTAACTTAAATCAATTACATGTTGTCATATCACATTGAAACT